ATGTGGAGAGCAAGGTGTTTTTCTTTCTAACTGTTCATGGACAATGAGAAGAATCGTTGCTTTTATGGGGTGGTAACATGTAACCAAATGAGAAGTGGGTAAGAGTTTGGCCGTAACAGTGAAGAGGAGTTGCCCACATTGATGAGATGGGGAATGTTAGGAAAGAAGGCAGCACGGCGAAGTGTGGTGTCAGAGCTTCAGTGCTCTGAAGGGCTGCTGGGGTGAGTTTGCAATGATCAGAAAAATGTATGAGGATTTGAGATGTGACAAGATTAGAGCTCAATTATACTTTTATTTATGCTAGTGCATAAAAATAAGATGCAGTAAAGATGTAATTGCAGAAGGAGTCTGTAAGATACGGTCTGATACTGGTGATGCCATTGGGTTTGGGCCTGTCTCCCAAGTAGCAGGCACAGCAATGGGGCTGTCGCTGGGTAGGGGGCAGCTGGGAGGGATGATGACGGAGCTTAGCTTGTAGCCCTGTTAAGCTGGAGCCAACAGCCAGGCATCCAAAACAACAGCAGAGATGAAAGGCAATCCTATTTTGAACAGGAGGAGACTGCTTCCCCACAGAGGCAGCAGTTATATTTGTTTCAGTGGAGGTACTTACAAAAGAAGCTTGCTGTGAGTATAGCCTTGGACTCCCCTGTTTTCTGTAGAAAGTTAGGGAATACTGCTAGGGAAGGTCCTCTAAATGGCTTCAGTCATGAAAACCAAAAAGAAAAAAAAAAAGACATATCTCAAGAACAGGAAAATGCTCCAAATAATGAGACTGATTAAAGCAACTGTGATGTGCTGTAAGGCCCCGTTGTTTGTAATGATCGTGTGATTGCTTCCAACAAGAATTACTTGTCTTTGGATGTCATTCTTCTGCTATCATAATCAATTACAGAAGGAACAGGCCCAATGTTTTTAGAAATTCCATTTTCGTTGGTGGTGTTTTGACATTTTTTATTTTGCTTCTATCAGATTTAGGTACTATTTCTATTTGATATTTTGTATAATATTTTAATCTACAATTTAGCTCTTACCTGTTCTTTGATAATCAGTCTCTTGGGTTAAATGTTAGGCAGATTGGAGTTGTCATATCAGGGCTTTTCAAGAATATTGCTTGCATAAAAGCTCATAGTTAAATAATTTTCTTTTTATCTTCTTTTTCAAACTGAAAATATCTGCTTTCCGTTAAAAATGATGTGTTTGCAACTCCTCTAAGTTTGGAGTACTTTTCAAATACATCAAAATACTTACAACTGAGTAATTTAGAAATCCAGGAAATGATTGTGCTGCATTTTTATTGTTAAACTGGCTGAAGACATCTTGGGGTAGCTTCATCCTAAAAGTACCTGTGCTGGTCCTCAGCCTAAGCTGAGTGAAGATGTTGCAGAGACAGAGCCCCCTGTGTCCTTGTGCAGAGCGTCAGTGGGGATGTCTGGCTCAGTTAAGGCCTCCTTGCCAAACTTTCAAAGTCAGATGTTAGGCCCATGGGTTTTTTGGTGTCTGCAGCCTTGTGTGTAGCAAACGAGGCACAATTCTGTCTGTGTCAAGGTCTGTAGAACAGCTGAACACGATGTACTGCTCTGCCCCCTGAAAAAAGCCACCCCCAAAAGGATTCATATCAGTAGAAAAATGGGTGCTATTGTCAATTGCTAGTTTTTCATTTGGAATAGTTTTTGGGTGGAAAGGTACAATACTGGTGGGGATTATGGTGAGTGAGTGAGTGAAGAGTTGCCTCAGATGCAATTGCAGGCAGCATGCATTGCAAAGATGCAGTTTTGGGGGTAAACAGGGCTGTTCTTACAGCTATGGCATCAAAAAACCCAACTCCAACACTTTCTTATAGAGGTGCTCTGTTCTGTGGAATACCAAAGTAAACTGTGACTGTGGATTAGTAGTTAAAGGATTATTTCTTTGGCAGAATAATCTTTGAATTCTGCTGACTGAAGCCAGCTTCAGCATAAATGCTTTAAAAGTACTTTACTGAAATCTGCTCTTACAGTGAGGGCAGGTTGTCTCGACTCCTTTAGTCAGTGCAGGAAAGAATATTGGAAGTGTTTAGGCAAACAGTAATATAACATAAACCAGAAAGATGCACTGCAGCAGGGGCATTGACACTGCACCTTTATGCTCCTGTTCACAAAGCTCCATTTTCAAAAACGAGACTGGGAAGCTGTGGGAAATGACAGGCAGCTGCTCTAGTACCAGTTCTCACTGTCATGTTTTTCCTAAACACCAAACTGCCCTTTATGGGCTATTAATTTGTCAAGTCATTTATTTCAGGGCAAGTCTGTATTTATAGAACCTGACATAAAGACAGCATATTGTAGCCTAGGATTTAAAAATGTCACTGCACATGATGCCAGGATAAATAGAACAGAAACTTGTTTCAGTTAGATCTACACCAACACTTCCCGAAAGATTTTTTTACATAGCCTTTTGGCATTATATTCTTTTCCTATTCACCTACAACAAACCTCTATCTTAGCTAAACAGATATATGTCATCAAATAATAATGTTCTTCATAATAATTGGAATAATTGAGTAGTATAGCTAGCTCTGTGTCTGGTAGAGATTAAAGGGGATATTTTTTATTCTATGGCAGTGACCACTGTAGTTTTCTAGTGGCTTCCTCCTTTATCACTTCTTTATCTCCTCTTCATCTTCTTTATCCATTACATACCTCAGTTGTAAATCAGAGGGTGGTGCCTCCATGGTGGCACTGTGTGGTGGTGTGGCTTATCGTACGCAAACAGTGCGTGCTACAGTGGTACTACTCCCTGATAGTGTGTACATCCCAGCCCTTCGCTTCCAGCACTACACCCGAAGATTCCAAAGACATTATTTCGCCTTTTCCTACCTTTAGTTCTGTGGGTTTCTCTTCTTTTGAAGTTGTTTTGACCTTCTCCCAAGAAAAGGTCAAGCCAAGATACAACTGTTCTGAAATAATCTTTACTTAGCATTATTTCCTGTGCTCTTTGGACAGAGACCTTGTGTTCGATTTTGAGCAATCTGTTGTCTGCAATAGAACACTGAATATGTCTCTCTGTTGCTATAGAAATAATATTGCATTAAAAGAAGGAACCAGTGCCCTGCTGTCGACAAATCTAATCTAAGTGGTAGTCTCTAGAGCTTGAATTTCACCACTGGGAAGAAGTATACATAATTCTACAAATTATTTCTGTAACTTACGCATAAACATCTTTATACTCTGAAACTGTTAGCTGAATTTCCCAGAGTGGTAGCAAGGAGCTGAACAGGGTGTCATGTGTTTATATATATCTTAACTGAGCTTTTCCCTGCCCCTCTCCCCCATATATTTTCATATTTATGGCTTGAAATTTCCAACTCTTCGCATAGGAAGGTGGGGAGTGGCAGGAAAAGCAGCTTTCTCAGCCATGTTCCCTACCTCATGGACAACAAAGTGTGCCTGGTTTATTTACATCGTTGGCTTTATTCTTTAAAATCCAGGTCTTCCAAGTAGCATGAGATGTCATTTGCTCTGATTTTCTAGGATTGATAAGGATATCATCCATAACGGGAAGGAGGGTCCTGGTGCATTAAATATCCCCTAAACTGATCTGCTGCCCACTACTCTCTGGACTAGTACACTGCGTACCACACGCCCAAGTTACTAGAAGTCTTTGCTGCAATAACTGCCAGCAGTTAAACACAAGAGTTGCGGATTTTGACTTTATGCACCAAATATCAAATCTCACATCTGTATTTACATCTAGACATACTTTAAACCTGATATGAGTATGGTTTTTTCACAGTATTCTTCCAAAGCTGTAGAATTCTAGTAACAGCAGTTAAGGTGGTCCTTCAGCCTGTACCTATGGGGTATGGAAACAGAATTTAAAACTTTGTTAATAATAGTGACTAAGGGTCAGTGTTTGTCAACATATTGATCCTAAGTATTTTGAAGAAACATAGAGAAAAGACTTTTAATCTCATAGTAACACTACTGGAGCCCCTCTAATACACGTGTAGTTACAAAACCAGAAAACAATTTAAAAACATGTGGTGATTGATTTGTATAGACCTGTATGGAAATGTCTCTTATAAACCTGATTTCAGAATTCTTATAAAAAACCCATTTGGTTAAAAAATGCAATTGTTATTTGTGAAATGGACCCATGTTAGGTGTATGTTATATATAATATAGGTATATGTTATGCATTGTGGAACAAAATACCATTTATAAATGTTCAATTTAATTCATGAATAGTGAACGTATCAATGGCCCCTGGTTAAAGATTACTTTTCTGGAAACTTAAACCTTCTGTCATCATTAGAATGAAATAACTGCTTTTTGAAAAAAAAAATCCTTTCTAAATTTTGCTCAGTGCTTGTACCTGACTCTAGCAATTAGATAAACCTTTCTAGACAAGGCCAGATCTCTGACAGCCAGAAGAGTAACTGTCTGGGTTACGCATATTAATATAAAACCAGAGATGCTGGGAAAACCAGCAAAGTCTACAGTTACCTTTCTGTGAAATTAATGCCAGACTCGGTATATACACAAGTCGCCACAAGACACTAATTATATTTTTGCTGTTAAAGTAGTTCTTTTAATGGAAAAAACCCTAACCCAACCTTAATTCCTTTGCACAGCCGTAAAACATAAACCAGAAGTTAACCCAGGTTTTGCCCCTGTGTAAAGCTGGTTACACGATCCAAGTTTTTTTTTCAACAACCAGCCTGCTAAAGGTTCTGGGGCAAACCACTGACCATTTTGTCACCTACTGTTCTGCTATCTATTGGTTCTTCTCCAGAGCCTTGCTTAGGGCAAGTTACTGAAAATAGCTGAGTACTTGATAAGAGAGGGAATGAAGTGGGAGGGAAGGGGTTGAGTGGCATTACAATATTGAAGTGATGATGTATTCTAGATCCCTGCCTCTTAACATGATCTTACTATGCATAGTTCCATGAGCAGAAGCTAACAACAAGAGTAGGAAAAGACAGCATAAAAACTAAACTGTGTTTGTTTTTTTTCCTATAGGAACTCAATGGAGAAAAGACCAAGAGCGAGATTTAAAGTATGTTCTGAAGGACACCCACCAGGACATACCACTGGTATTTGTCAGTGGAAATCATGATATTGGCAATACCCCAACAAGAGAAACAATAGAGCATTACTGCAGTAACTGGGGAGATGACTACTTCAGCTTTTGGGTTGGAGGTGTTTTCTTTCTTGTGTTGAATTCTCAGTTGTACTTTGATTCTTCCAAGTGCCCTGAGCTGAAGCAAGCCCAGGATGTGTGGCTCAACGAGCAACTGGCTATCGCTGAACAGCAGAAATGCAAGCATATAATAGTGTTCCAGCACATCCCTCTGTTTCTGAGAAAACCTGATGAAGACCATGATTATTTCAACTTGGAAAAATCAGTTCGTCAGGAGCTAATGGAAAAGTTTCATAAAGCAGGTATTTTCTCAAACTTTCCTTGGTTTGAATTTTTGTTTCAAATTGTTAATGGCAGTGCTGCCAGACAAAATACATTTTGCTTCAGTGGTACTGTTTTAAAGGAATTTTAGGTACTCCTTATAAGCCTGATTGCTCCCTGTCAGAATTATCAACTGAATCTAATCACTTATAAAAAGTACCAAACAACATCTAAAACTTTGAGTGAAAAGTAAAAAAGTAAAAGTGAAAAATTCTTTAAGATAAACAGCAAGGCTTCCATTCTGCAAGTATCAATAGATAAGACAGCCTGAATTTTTTCTGCCTACAGACTGGAAGATCAGGTATTGCCAGAGGAGAAAAATACAGAATTTGTTTTACATAAAATATGGAAACAGAATTCAGAATTACCTTGGAGGTTGTTTTCTCCCACACTGAGCCTATTTTAAACCAAGAGTGTAATACACTCCAGATATATTCAGTGTTAAAGAGTCCTGCTTTGCTAAGATCAATCCTTGCATATCCCATTACTAATAGGGGCTAGTTCTGAGGTGAAGGGCAAGTGCTAACCAGTCCATTGTGCCAAATCCCTTTGCTTTGTGTGATGACACTTGAATGCCACGCAGACAGAAACGGTGTGCAGCTACTCCTCCATGCTGCTCCTGTTGTTTGTTTCCTGTTAATTGCCTTCATATTCCTGGGGTGTGCTTGTCCCTCCAAATTTCCTGCCATCGCTGCATCAGCGTCATTTTCTCTGCATCTCTAAGAGCATGTTATTTGGATTACTGAACAATGCAAATTGTTTATGATATTGTTCCTAATTTACCATATAATTGTTAAGCCTGGGCTCATTCAAAACCAGCCTAATTTCCAAGCTCTGAGTCTCCTGCTGTTTACAATCAATGGGGCCAAAATTCACAGTTTTCTGAGGGCTCTCCAGGGGACTGACATATTTGCAGATTCAAGTGCCTTTTTTTTCCCCCATAAGGAGACATGCTGAGAATACCTCATGGTATCTTTTTAATTTTTGTGCTAGTGTTAATGTAGCTATATATAGTTATAGTTAATATAGGGAAGCATTTGGAAAGTTGGGCAGCTAAATGACTGCTTACATACTGTTGTCTAAAAACACATCCTAGTTCATTGGAGAGCTGCTTAGCAGAAGGACACTGTCAGCAAGCATTAAGCAGTTCTGTTCTAGAGTTTTCTCTCATTCTCATGGTTTACCAGCATTTGGCAAAACTCAGGACTGGGAATATAGTTAATCAAGAGGTAAAAGAAACTGCAGAATGTTACCAGTGTAACATTTGTCATGATTACATTATCATCCCTCGAAGAGACATATTTCAGACTGATTCTCCTCATGTATGTCCAGAGGCTTAACTGGAAGTTGGGGAGGCTTCAAATGACGGGGAAAAGGAAGAGAGGTGTGGAGCCAGTGAGACAAAGACAAGTCTACGGAAGAAGTTCCTAAACTCCTTTCTGTGCCAATATCCCCTCCATCGTTTCCCCTGCAATGATGTTATTTGTTTCTTTCATGAATATGTACAAACATTGATCTTCTGCTGGCTGTTTTATACAGTGAGTGAGTGAGTCAATAGATAATACTCATAATACAATAATCTAACATTTTGCTAATTAAATGAACAGAGAAAGCTCAGTGTAACTCAGGCTGCTGAGAAACATCAGCTGAATCAAAAGTTGGCTCGGTTTCCTTAGTAACGGGTGCGCTCTGTTTCCATTGTGTCATTCAATTGAAGGGTGGTCTTTGTAAGACCACAGAATGTCATCAGTGGGTTGCAAACAGGCAGTTATCATGGTAGCATAGATTCACAGATACACAATGACATCACTTACTTTCTCATTTTCTTTTGCTTCGCCAAAAACCTATTTCAGCATTTCAGACATTAAACTGGTTTTCCCGTAGTTCACTTCATACATTCTTAGGGGATTAAACACAGAATATTGGTAATGAAATCCCAATATACTTTGCCTTTTTTAATTATGACTTGCAGCTTAGAAGGCCAACCCCTTGCAGCACTTAATTTAGACATTTGGTGTAACTATTTATCCTGGAAAAAGAAAGTAAGTGCGCTTCTAATGAGTCCACCAGGCTGCTGCTATTCTTCTTCCCCTGACTAATCACCAGTCCTTCCTTTCTTCCTTGTGCTCTCTTGCTCACTGTTTCCAACCACTACGAAGGTCTGCTTTGTAATTATGTAAAATTTCAGTATAATGTGCATGTTTAAGGGGTTAGCAGATGGGTATCATATTCTAGTTATTGATAACCCAGGACCAGACCTGGAACTATCCTAGTTCTCCTGTTTATACTCTGTCTAGCTTAGAGAAGGAGGGGAAAGGAAGCACAGTCTATCAATTCAGGTCCTACCATGAACAAAGAAATTCATATGGATGCGTGTAGGAAATAATCAGATACTTAAAGTGTGGTGGTATTGCACAGGTGCTTTAAAGGGAGGTATGCAACTTCAGAAAATTATTATTTCAAATTCAGAGACCAAATCTTCTGTAGTTACTCTCTTCTAATCACTTTGCTATTACATAATGTTTTTGGTTTAAGTATCTGCTCATTACAAGCAGAGATAAAAGACTAGCTGTAGAGGCTACATCTGGTACGAAATACTGAATTACGTTTCTCACATTAGAAGTGTCCTTAACAGTTGGGCTAATTAAAGATAAAATCATGTCCTTATGATAAATATTTATAAATTGGAAATCTGGCACTTGTAAATATGTATTACTACTCTGCAGAGTTAAGCCATACTTGTAAGCTGCACATCTAAGAAATCCTCCTGGCCCATTTTTATTTTCAATGCATTATAACCAGTATTGTCCTTGGAAAAGGGATTTCAGTGACAGTGCAAATCAACTCAGCTGAAAACACAGTTTATCGCTTAAGAGAAAATACATTTCTCAAAGTGTACTTGCATAACTTCTGAAAGTTTAGCCTCAGTTACCTGTCTCTTCTACTTGCAGAAGCCAAGTAGAGGAGACCTGTACTAAAGAACCATGAAAGAGCTGTAAGCTCCACTGGAGTCACCCAACTCTGCTGTGTGAAATGCATAGTTACCTTTGAAGAATTTGATAGTGCTGATATAAGTTTGCTCATAGCTTTGTGGGGAGAATAAAGTAGCAGCAGTGGTCTAGTCAAAACTCTGGTCTGCATATCATGTCTCTCTGATAAGCAGAAGTGATAAATTAGGTTTTAAATTACGGCATTTATGTAACAAGAAACATACTCTTTCTGACCTATCTCATTCCAGTATAATTTCCTTAGGATGTTAAAGGATTTTTTCAATGACCAGAAAAGTGTGGGTATTCTTGTGCTAGAGACAATCTTTTAAAGACTTTTTGTCTAACATACTGACATTACTTAACACAATGTAGTAATAAATGTTTCTTCACGGCCCTAATGAACCAAAATATTTAAGCAAATGTCTGACCTTGTTTAAGGGCTCTGTTGAATAAAACCTAGATTAACAGCTAGTGTTCTACCAACAAAGTTGAGAAAATACCTTTTGATTCAATGTGAAATGGCAAGTATAGGTGGTCTATCTAGGTGAGGGATTTTGTGTCCGAGAGAATTGCTGGGTAATAGATACAAAATACGGAACAAAATTCACTGCAGTCTCCAGCTTTTTTTTTTTTTTTAATTCAAAAGATCATTTAAATGTCTTCAAAGCAATTTTTCAGATGTGCTTAAAAACACTTAATTTGCACATACAGGGAAAAATAACAACCTAACTATTAAATGGCATATTTTTCTGTTATATTTGTGAGTGTAGGTGCTGTAGCTTCTAACACCTTTACTCATTAAAAGACTCTGATACCTACATTCTCCTCTTAGAAATATGACAGGAGAGTAGTACTAAAGGGAGCAGCAGCTTTCTGAACATCCACAGCTGAGATGTATTTGAGCACAAAATTAAAGCATGGAGTGCTGAAAGCTGTTTCTAAAATTTACCAGACAACATATGCTAAGTGTCATGAATTTGTCGTGTAATCAAGGTTGACAAGGGAGTAATATTTTCTTCCTGCCATTGGGACCTTGATTTTTGCGAAGCCCATACACCAAGTGAGTTACCTCAGGCTTGCGTATGTGTTGCTTCATCAGTATTTAAGGTAATTTAAATACACTCAAGTTCAGTGATTTAGATCAACCTCTTTGAACCTTGAAATGATGCACTCATGGTACAGGCAGTGACCAAGTTTGGTATCTTCTATGTCACTGTGTAAGAACAGGTTTTAAGACTGTTCCCCAGGTAATGTAATCTAGTATGTAGATACACACACATTTATTTCAGAGATTGAGCAAGTACAAGATGCATTTATTTAGTAAAATCTGTAATGACATTAAGTAGTATTTTTGCTTTGATAAATTTTTGAAATCTGTTTTATCCACTGGGCTGTAGTTTTGGTTGATAAAAACTTCTTTTTGATCCTTAGAACACAGGGCAAACCAGGACTGTTTGTGGTTTGTCTCAGGTCTCTGAGAAAGCTTCACTTTCAAATGGAAAAAGTAGCAACACCAGAAAATTCCACTGCGAATTCCACAAAAATTAACTTGAAGCAGAGAGTGATCTTCTACAGACAGCACCTCTAAAAAGGCTCATTCAGACCAGCACCCTGATCAGGTGGTTGGGAATCACCCTCTGGCTGTGCCTGTTGTTTCTCCTCTGATTACATAGGAAAACAAACTGAGACCAGGATCCTTCTCTAGATAGGTGTGTTCACTGTTGTCCTATATAAGAATTCTTTCAACGTAGATAAGCTTTTCAGAGTAGTATCTTGTCTCTTACTAGTTGCATCAAGCTCTGGATTCTTCAGTGCACAAAGCAAATTTAAGGAAGAGTTTTCCTATAAGTTTGCAGGATTATGTTTGCAAACAACAGTGCATGGGATATTTTTATTAAGATTCTTACGGTGCTATGCACTGTAAATTCCAATTACTCAGTTCTGGTTTATTCACACAACTGATGAGGAAGGTAGGATAACACAGAGCTTCA